ACAGAGACAGAGGCAGAGGCAGAGGCAGAGGCAGAGACAGAGGACAGAGGCAGAGGCAGAGGCAGAGACAGAGACAGAGGCAGAGGCAGAGACAGAGGCAGAGACAGAGACAGAGACAGAGACAGAGGCAGAGGCAGAGACAGAGGCAGAGACAGAGGCAGAGGCAGAGACAGAGACAGAGGCAGAGACAGAGGCAGAGGCAGAGACAGAGACAGAGACAGAGACAGAGGCAGAGGCAGAGGCAGAGACAGAGGCAGAGACAGAGACAGAGGCAGAGACAGAGGCAGAGGCAGAGGCAGAGGCAGAGACAGAGACAGAGACAGAGGCAGAGACAGAGACAGAGGCAGAGACAGAGACAGAGACAGAGGCAGAGACAGAGACAGAGGCAGAGACAGAGGCAGAGGCAGAGACAGAGGCAGAGACAGAGGCAGAGACAGAGGCAGAGACAGAGACAGAGACAGAGGCAGAGACAGAGGCAGAGGCAGAGACAGAGGCAGAGGCAGAGGCAGAGACAGAGGCAGAGGCAGAGGCAGAGGCAGAGACAGAGGCAGAGACAGAGGCAGAGACAGAGACAGAGACAGAGGCAGAGGCAGAGACAGAGACAGAGACAGAGACAGAGGCAGAGGACAGAGACAGAGACAGAGACAGAGACAGAGGCAGAGGCAGAGGCAGAGACAGAGACAGAGACAGAGGACAGAGGCAGAGACAGAGACAGAGGCAGAGGCAGAGGCAGAGACAGAGGCAGAGACAGAGGCAGAGACAGAGACAGAGACAGAGACAGAGGCAGAGACAGAGGCAGAGACAGAGGCAGAGGCAGAGACAGAGACAGAGGCAGAGACAGAGACAGAGGCAGAGACAGAGGCAGAGACAGAGACAGAGGCAGAGACAGAGGCAGAGACAGAGACAGAGGCAGAGGCAGAGGCAGAGACAGAGACAGAGGCAGAGACAGAGGCAGAGACAGAGGCAGAGACAGAGGCAGAGACAGAGGCAGAGGCAGAGACAGAGACAGAGGCAGAGGCAGAGACAGAGACAGAGGCAGAGGCAGAGACAGAGGCAGAGACAGAGACAGAGGCAGAGACAGAGACAGAGGCAGAGGCAGAGGCAGAGACAGAGACAGAGGCAGAGACAGAGACAGAGACAGAGGCAGAGACAGAGGCAGAGGCAGAGACAGAGGCAGAGACAGAGGCAGAGACAGAGACAGAGGCAGAGACAGAGGCAGAGACAGAGGCGCAGAGACAGAGGCAGAGACAGAGACAGAGGCAGAGACAGAGGCAGAGACAGAGGGCAGAGGCAGAGAGAGACAGAGGCAGAGACAGAGGCAGAGACAGAGGCAGAGGCAGAGAGACAGAGACAGAGACAGAGACAGAGGCAGAGACAGAGGCAGAGACAGAGACAGAGACAGAGGCAGAGAGAGAGCCAGAGGCAGAGGCAGAGGCAGAGACAGAGACAGAGACAGAGGCAGAGACAGAGGCAGAGACAGAGACAGAGACAGAGACAGAGGCAGAGCAGAGAGAGGCAGAGGCAGAGGCAGAGACAGAGGGGGCAGAGGGGGGGGACAGAGACAGAGGCAGAGAACAGAGACAGAGACAGAGACAGAGCAGAGGCACAGAGACAGAGGCAGAGGCAGAGACAGAGACAGAGGCAGAGGCAGAGACAGAGGCAGAGAGACAGAGGCAGAGACAGAGGCAGAGGCAGAGACAGAGACAGAGACAGAGACAGAGGCAGAGGCAGAGGCAGAGACAGAGGCAGAGGCAGAGACAGAGACAGAGACAGAGACAGAGGCAGAGGCAGAGACAGAGACAGAGGCAGAGACAGAGACGATGACAGAGACAGAGGCAGAGACAGAGACAGAGACAGAGGCAGAGACAGAGGCAGAGACAGAGGCAGAGCCAGAGGCAGAGGCAGAGGCAGAGACAGAGACAGAGGCAGAGACAGAGGCAGAGGCAGAGGCAGAGGCAGAGGCAGAGGAACAGAGCACAGAGACAGAGGCAGAGGCAGAGACAGAGGCAGAGGCAGAGACAGAGACAGAGACAGAGGCAAGGCAGAGGCAGAGACAGAGGCAGAGGCAGAGACAGAGGCAGAGGCAGAGGCAGAGGCAGAGGCAGAGACAGAGGCAGAGGCAGAGACAGAGGCAGAGGCAGGCAGACAGAGACAGAGGCAGAGGCAGAGGCAGAGGCAGAGACAGAGGCAGAGACAGAGACAGAGACAGAGACAGAGGCAGAGACAGAGGCAGAGACAGAGACAGAGACAGAGACAGAGGCAGAGGCAGAGGCAGAGACAGAGACAGAGGCAGAGACAGAGGCAGAGGCAGAGGCAGAGACAGAGACAGAGACAGAGACAGAGACAGAGACAGAGGCAGAGGCAGAGGCAGAGACAGAGGCAGAGACAGAGAGAGAGAGACAGAGACAGAGACAGAGGCAGAGACAGAGACAGAGACAGAGACAGAGACAGAGGCAGAGACAGAGGCAGAGGCAGAGGCAGAGACAGAGGCAGAGGCAGAGGCAGAGACAGAGACAGAGACAGAGGCAGAGACAGAGACAGAGGCAGAGACAGAGACAGAGACAGAGGCAGAGACAGAGACAGAGGCAGAGGCAGAGGCAGAGGCAGAGACAGAGGCAGAGGCAGAGGCAGAGACAGAGACAGAGACAGAGGCAGAGGCAGAGGCAGAGACAGAGGCAGAGACAGAGACAGAGGCAGAGACAGAGGCAGAGACAGAGACAGAGGCAGAGGCAGAGACAGAGACAGAGGCAGAGGCAGAGGCAGAGGCAGAGACAGAGACAGAGACAGAGGGCAGAGGCAGAGACAGAGACAGAGACAGAGACAGAGGCAGAGACAGAGACAGAGGCAGAGACAGAGACAGAGACAGAGACAGAGGCAGAGGCAGAGGCAGAGACAGAGACAGAAGAGACAGAGGCAGAGGCAGAGGCAGAGGCAAGAGACAGAGACAGAGACAGAGACAGAGACAGAGGCAGAGGCAGAGGCAGAGGCAGAGGCAGAGGCAGAGGGCAGAGACAGAGACAGAGACAGAGGCAGAGACAGAGGCAGAGGCAGAGGCAGAGGCAGAGGCAGAGACAGAGACCAGAGACAGAGACAAGGCAGAGACAGAGGCAGAGGCAGAGGCAGAGACAGACAGAAAGAGACAGAGGCAGAGGCAGAGGCAGAGGCAAGAGACAGAGACAGAGACAGAGACAGAGGCAGAGGCAGAGACAGAGACAGAGACAGAGACAGACAGAGGCAGAGGCAGAGACAGAGACAGAGGCAGAGGCAGAGGCAGAGGCAGAGACAGAGGCAGAGGCAGAGGCAGAGACAGAGACAGAGGCAGAGGCAGAGACAGAGACAGAGACAGAGACAGAGACAGAGGCAGAGACAGAGACAGAGACAGAGGCAGAGACAGAGACAGAGGCAGAGGCAGAGGCAGAGGCAGAGACAGAGACAGAGACAGAGGCAGAGGCAGAGGCAGAGACAGAGGCAGAGACAGAGCAGAGGCAGAGGCAGAGACAGAGAGAGAGAGACAGAGACAGAGACAGAGGCAGAGACAGAGACAGAGACAGAGGCAGAGAGAGAGGCAGAGGCAGAGGCAGAGACAGAGGCAGAGGCAGAGACAGAGGCAGAGAGAGAGGACCCCACAGAGGCAGAGACAGAGACAGAGACAGAGGCAGAGACAGAGACAGAGGCAG